GCGGTCGGTGAGGCTGTATGGGAGGCGTGACTTTCATTATTCTTCTTTTATGTGTGCGCTTGTAGACCTTAACCGCTTTTTAGCCTCCATTCTCCTGTGTGAATTTCACCTTAGTAGATGACAAGTTCCCCTGTCTCTTCACGGGCTTGTCCCCTGACAAAGGCTTGGTCTTTCACAACGTTCTCAGCGTTGCCCGTAACCAGGTTTTCAAAGTGCTGTGAGTGCCTCCGAGTAGCCATGCTACCAGCGGGGTGAGCGGGCCTTCATTGGGCTCCCTCAACAAGGCTGTGCCAGACCCACGGGGACCCAGAGCTCCCGGCCTCTGCTGCAATGCTGCTGGCCAGGTAACGCCTGGTGGAGTTTCCTATGGCCTCCGTGCTGGAGGAGAAATGGAAACTTCAGCTAAAGAAGCCCCAAGGCGAGAAAGAGTTCTTATGCCCAGCTTGGAAACGAGGACCCATGTGCACAAACTAACGGCCCAGGAGATGGAAGACAAGTAACAATTTGTTTCCTCCCTAAACACCAGCATCTATTATTAAAAAACAAACAGGCAAACCCCCTTGTGTTTTTTATTAATGGTCTTTGATGGGGTATGGTTGAGCATGCTGCATATCCAGCCAGTGAAATGGTAGCACTGATGTCTAAAAGGAAGCAACAACCACATAGATTAATCTGCTTTGTTTTACAGCTTCCAGTGTTATAATCTGAAAACGTAGAACTGTCAGTTTGCACATCTAAGGCAGGCAGTGTACAGATACTCAGTAAGTGATGCTTAAGGCTATTGTAGCAGGCACGTCTCCTTAAACCAGGAGTTAAGGTACAGCATCTGTCCAGCACTACACAAGCCGTTAATTCCATAGAAGTTTTAATCAAACTTTGCAGATTTCCTTTAAAAATTGTGTGATGTGAAAGGAGTGGCTTGTGTTTCTATTAATGTATTTTTTTCATTTCCCACTGCATGACTTTAAGACACACAGATACTTTTCAGTGCTGTGTTGGGATACATTAACTTTGTTTTCAGTAAAGCATGGTAGCATTGCAAGCTTGCCACACATTAACCAAATGACTTCAGATACTACCATGAAAAGATTAGGTTGTTGAAGAGGATGGTGTAGGAACCAATGGAGAATAACACATTATATACACTGTATCTCTGGCACTTCTTGTATTAAATTTCTTCAAAAGGTAAAAAGGGTAGTAATAAAGTGGGGCACAATTCAAGTGTGTGCTAGATATTAAAATAACCTTTACATATACATCTAAGGATATGTCCCATTACAAAGAATAGGTCTGTGGGAGTTACACATGCAGGTTTTAACAGGAGTGTTTCTGTTCAGTTGTAGGCCATGAAAGCTACGTTTTATTTTAATAAGTTGTCTTTGAAATTCTTTACTTGCAGAGGATATAAAACTGCTCTTAACATAGGAGCTGAGCAATGATGTCAGCTTTTTGATACCACATTGTAGCTGTTTTGTTTTTTTTTTTCCTAGGGTTGAATACTATTAACGTTGTAGGACTGATTGGTGGGGAGGAGTTGTTTTTGTTGTTAGCTAAGGAAAAATTGAAAGAGAAGAGAATGGTCTATGCTGCTGAAGTCTGTGAGGAGGTCTGTTTTGAAGGGCGGGTGACATTAAGGGGATCCTGCTGGGGCTTTTCCTGTTAGAGAGGAGGATAAAAGGGGACAGGGCAGCATACGAGTCTGTCTGCTTCTTTCACTCTCTCACCCTTATCCCTGGCTTTAGGAGATCAGAAATCATTTGGATCTGAAGCAGGAGCTGAAGGAAGAACTCTAATCTGACTGGAGGATTCAGCCTTTTGCGTGGACAAACAGCAGGATCCAACACGGTAAGGGAATATGTCCCTCTCTACGGTCTTTCCTCTAGGACCAACTGTCTTACCAGCTTGCTTTTCTTCCAGCGTGCTTTTGAATTGTTTTGCAAAAAATGTCTTCAGTGTCCTCACTATGATGTGGAATGGAAGCGTGCATTTTTTCCACAGGGTAGGAGGCACTGCTTGGTTTCACTCCCTTCCCAGTCAGGAACTTTAATTTATTCTGCCTTAGAAAACTTCAGTGAATTGTGAAATTATATTTAAGGGAAAAAATAATTTTGCTTTTAAAAACACTTTTCTTTTTATGAATAACAGTTGGACCAAAGTGCCTAATGAAGCTTTGTAGAGAGCATGTTGATGTCTTTGTTAGCAATAGAGCAGTTGTAGGCTGTTACTTTGAAGTTCACAGCAACTTCCTAGTGACTCCAGAATTATTTGTCAAGCAGTGACAAAAGGAAAGACAGAGTCTGACATATTGGATAGTACACAGTATAAAGACACGGAAAAGTTTCTTGCAAGAAAATCAGTCTGGCGATTGATAGAGCATTAAGCATATGCTCTGTGTTTATACACCTAGAGTCCCTAAAACTTAAAATTAGTCTCTTAGATAATCCACAACAGTTTGTGATCCCCAGGGACAGGCTACTTGAAGTACTTACATTGGACTTGGACAATTTAGTAATTATGAAACAGTTACATTTTATTGATATTAGGTTAAGACATCTTAGTAGTGTCTCAGGAACTCAAAACATGATTAATGATTTATCACAGTTCTACCAACATCTATTCTGAAATATTATTCTTCAGTATAGCTTCTGTTTGCCTTTGCAAGCTATGTAATGAACTCAAACCAATGGTTATGATTTTTGGCGAAAAGAATGCTGACATGTTGCTTGCAAAGCTGGTGTTTTATGGTATCTTTAATTTATTATCTATTTCCTGGGTAAGGACTGGTTTATGCCATTAGCATCTTCCTTAAAGGTCATGTTCTGGGGTGTTTTTTCTTTCTGACATTTGTCCACGTTCAGCACATAAGGAAAAATTAAGTTTGCAGATGTGACCTACATGGAGTATGATAATATTTCTGAAATAAATCAAAACTAATTTGCCTAGAAATATTACTGAGGAACTGTTTTAAATGTCAGTGTGCTAGTGAAATTAACAGTTGTTCTTTATTGAGTATGCTGTTCTGCTGACGTTACCCTCTTAGCAATTGTCAAAGTATAGTATCTGGTCTGAAAACTGCCATTTATTACTGAGGATTTTTAGAATCATAAAAGTTCCTAGACTGACCACAGTGTTCAGTTTGAAATGTATTTATCTGGTAAGTTACATAGAGCATTTGTATGAAACTTTCTGTCCTGTCCGGTGTAGTTGTCCTGTTCTGTCCTGTGTGTTGATGAGACCTAGTCATGACAAGATTATTTCAGCCTGGATGCTTAAGAAAGGAAATCTTGACTATGCTGAAACAAGTGAAAAAAATTCTCAGTGATTTCACTGTTGTCAGTATTTAAACCAAAATGTGAATGATGCATCCATCCAGTGACACTACTGGTGCAGTCACTTTCTTTGGATCTTATAGATACCTTTCTAATATGATACTACTTACCAATTATAAATGAGGGATATAATTTATACATTTTTGCTTATTTTTACATGGGTGTTTGAAATAAATAGTTAGTACTATATCTTATGATTCTGGGTTTGCACAGGCTAATGGCTGATCGAGTGCTTGTGATTGGCAGTGGAGGCAGAGAGCATGCGCTCGCCTGGAAGTTGGCCCAGTCCCCACATGTAAAACAAGTGTTTGTTGCTCCATGAAATGCAGGAACAGCTGACAATGGAAAAATTTCCAATTCAGGTAAAAAGGGGGGAAAAAATAGAACATTGTACGAAACAATCAGTAATACCGGTATTGGAACTGAAACAAAACTGACCATGTTTGTATTGAGTTGGCAGGAGATAACAATTATTCTTTTCTTTTACTGGTACCACAAATTATTTAAGGCACATATATTTTTTTTTCTGTATGTTTTATTTCTGAATTTTAGAACTGCCTAGTAAAACATTATACTATATCTATTTTTAGCCTAGCTTTTTAAGATAGTGAGACTTATATGAGACTGTGCATTTCTACACCTCATCTCTTTCCTCCTACTGTTATGCTTGAATTCACTGACCAATTTCAGTGAAACTTAACAGAGGAATAAAAGGCTTAAACTTACTAACTTCTGGTTTGAAACTTCTCTGGTGTCTGCCTGGGCTGCTCTGCTAAATTTAGCTACATCATGCACTGGCATTGAATAAATCTTTGCTCAGAAGTTGAAAATGAGTTTCCTTATGAACTTACAGTTTTATTTTTTAAAGTTTTTATTCTGTTATGATAAGCAGCTTTTAAAAGTTTATATTGATTACTTATAGCAAATAAAATACATTTAATAAATTAGCAGATGTGTATTAAAATCAGTAGTGCAAATTGGAAATGTTCACTGTTTGTTCTGGACTCTGTTATTATTATATTATTTGTTTTACCTTGCCCTTCATGGACTGTTTCATTGCTTTAATCATACTTCTTAGGGAGATGGAACAATGACCTTCTCATCTCCCATCTCTTATTTAGGCCTTGCAATGGTAACTTAATTATATATCCTTTTCCTTTTCAGCTGTATTAGTGAGCAATCACACTATTGTTACCCAGTTCTGCAAAGATCATAACATCGGACTTGTGTTAGTTGGACAAGAAGCTCTTTTGGCAGCTGGTAAGGCTGAAATAAATTAACTCGACAGTAAAAATCAGCGCCTTGAATTCTGCTTTAAAATTACCTCTTTCGGATCTTGGGACACACTGACTTAATTAAACTAAAGAGCAAGAAAATTTGGATTATTTTGTAAACGTAAACTTTAGTCACTTAAAACATTTGGCTTCATAGCTGTATGCTGCTTTTTGTGTGTTGGAAATCAGCAGGGGAAATTATGCAGCACCAAGAATCAGTAATGGTTACAAGTACTCTTGTGTCTTCTGCTTTGCTTTCCTTTATATAAAGAATTTTCTTGCAATAGTCCTAACACTGTTGCTGTATGCAACAGTACCCAGACTATCACATGCATTTATTGTATTGTGGTACAGTAAGATCTCCATGTCTTAAATAGTGAACAGAAGTACCCGACAGTCCTAAGTAGTCCTGTGGTGGTAACTGTGACACTACTTAGTAATGTAAAGAGCTAAAGACCTCTTAAAATTAAATGATGAAACAGGTCATTGGATATGCAGAGCCTTATTTTAAGGATGAATTAGCTGTTCGAGACAAGAAAAAGTGCAACAAACTGCTGGAACAGTTATGTGGTTTTCCTTTTGTCAAAATGACTTGCTGTTTCCAAAGAGATGACTTGGTTCTTTTGCTATTTTTGATAATTAGGGATTGTTGATGACTTGAGAGCAGCAGGAGTTAGGTGTTTTGGACCATCTGCAAAAGCAGCCCAGCTGGTGTCCAACACCAGTTTTGCCAAAGCCTTTCTGGATCGACATGGGATCCCAACAGCAAGATGGAAAGCCTTCACCAATCCCCAGGAAGCTTGTAGGTTTATTATCAGGTAAATATTTTGATACTGGAAACTCCTCTGTTAAGTTGTCTATGCATTTGGCCTTCACCTATGATGGTTACCTAGAGCTAGGTAAATTTTCAACTGTTGTTCTTCTCAGTAGCTACGGAATGAATTAGTTTTGTAATTAGAGACAGATGGTGAAGGTGCAGGGAACTTAAACAGGTTGATTTTTCTGTTCACAGATCACAGCTCTTCCCTTTGATCAGCTTCTTCAGGATGTTAGTTAGCCATTTAAAAGACAAAAAATTGTAGCGGAGAAAAATATTTCAATAAATCTTTCTGTAAGGGTAATTTTTACACAGACGCGTACCAGCAAAATACTGTCTGTGGAGTGATGTGGGAGGGACTGGTCAAATACTCCTAACTTAAGGAGGATACTCTTATTTCTTCAAGGCTAGACAGCATCTCTCTCACATGGAGAGAGAAATGTAACTGTGTATCTCTGCAATTGCTTTGAGCAGTAGTGCCTCTGAAGTCACTGGGGATCCTTTGGGAAGAGTAACTTACCGCTGTGGCTATTTTGGTCCAGTCTCACAGCAGCTGCTGTGTTCAGCTACACTGGTCTGTGGCTGTGTGGCGGTTTCATGAACTTCTTGTCTTTGCTGTCACATGCTACGTGTGGTATAATCTAGTGGAACTTTGTTTCTTTTAATGAAAACAACCTTTTCACTGACTTTGCTCTGTAACAGCATTTAGTCTGTATTGCTGCCATGTAGAGAAACTTCTAAGTCTGTAAGTGTGCATAAGACTCAGGTCAGCACACTGAGATGTGGAGAAAGGGAGCTTTGTGTGAGCCTGCTTTGGCTGCTTGTATAAATCTAGGGTTGGGCTGTATCCTAATATAAATCGTAATGTGGAAAGGAGGAATGAGATGTTTTTTCAGGAAACAGGCTACTAGTGTGTAGAATCAGCTCTTCAAAAAGGACATTTTAGTTGACTGTCCGCAAGCTGGAGAGAAGTGAATGGATAAAGCGTAGTTAAAATATGTTAACATTATGGTATTTTGTTCTTTTTTTTTTTTCTTTCTTCTAGATTTAGTTTGTGTTTAAGATTAAGCAGAGCAATTCTGGGGATATGGTGTTAATACACTAGTTCTAACATATCCTTTACATGCAAGATCTAACTCAGCCTTAACCTTACAATCCTAAAGAGAACTTCCATGGTGGTTTATAGGATTATGTACTGTAATCTGGTGTTATGAAACTATAAATCATCAATGAGTTCATCTTTCCAAGCCCATGACAGGAATAAAATAGTAACTCAACTCAGGGAAAAGAGGAAGAAACTGCAAGGTGCGAAGTTCAGTGACTTGTCCAAGGATATACACTGAGTTGGTGTCAGAACCAACAACAGAATTCATGGATTTCTGGTTCGCAGTCCTAAGCTCAAGGCTGTAAGAGCCCATTGCTCTCCATGATAGGATGGGCTAGAAGGGAATATATTTTTCTGAAGTGTTATTCTTCAACCGTTCAGAAAAAAAGGAAGAATATGGGAGGCATTCAACTTAAAAATTATAATTTCACTGGATGCAGTAGGGATGCCTGAATCTCACTTTTGTTTTCATTTAAAGCACAGACTTCCCTGCACAAGTTGTACGGGCGAGGGGCCCTGCTGCTAGAAAAGAAGTGACTATTGCAGCCAGCAAAGAGGAAGCCTGCAGAGTTGTCCAAGAGATTATGCAGGTGGATAAATCTTTAATTGATCAGTGGGAATCCAATTCTTGATGTTTGTAGCCTATGAGTTTGTAATTTCAGCCACAGGAAGCAAGTATCTTCAGGAGAAACTTGCCCATTTGACTAAGGGATTTCTCTGGGAACCACCCTCAAATTCCTCATGTTTGCCCCAGACAGTGGGCAGGGCTTTGTAGAGTTTGTGACTGAACTGAGTCCTGCTGCCTTGCCCCTCCAACTTTTTCATGTTTGGTTGGCTTCCAAGGTCTGATAAGGTTCATTTCAATGTCTCTTCCTTATCTCCAAGTGAGATTCTATTAGATTTGCTCAACATACCAGAATTCAAGCAAGCTAGTACTTTTCATACACATTGTTTTTTCTGTTAAAAGAAAGTAAAGAGAAGATTTAGCTAGTAGATGCCATGTTTGCTAACTGGAGAATTTCTTTCTTTTTTTTCTACAGGACAGAATGTTTGGAGAGATGGTTGTTATTGAAGAACTTCTTCAAGGGGAAGAACTTTCTGTATGTGATCGATGGTGTGGTTGTGTGCTTTTATTCTTTGGCATTATTGCTATGCTCTGTGCATAAACACACAAATTTATTGTTTCAAATAGGGTTTTTTTATTTGTTTTATTTGCATTTACATAAATATGCAATCTAAGCAATTTGATGTCATACTGATCAATATATGTTGTCAGTAGAATTTTCTTCTACATTAGCCATAAAAGTACAATTGTGGTGATCTTTTTAGGTGGAAAATGATCTTTTTCTTCCTAAGGTGACCTAAACCATGTTTGTATGGACTTTGTTTTGGTAATTCTTACTAACATCAATAATTTTGTGCTAGTATTTAGTGCCTATTTTAGCACTTTCCTTACCATGGATTTCTACTCAGTGGCAGGATAAACCTTGCATGCGTATTATATGCCACATGAAAACTGAAAACAAGTTCTTTGTGCAAGGTTTGTCCTGCATGGGGAATACCTCACACTCATTCAGGCCCCAGATCTGCAAACACACACTTTTAACTTGAACCATATTAATAAGTCTGTCAAGTCAACAAAGCCTATTCACATGCCTCAAAGTAAGCATATGTCCACGTGACTGATAGGTCAAGAGCTAATTCATCAGAAAGGAATTGTTAGGAGGGCCACCATTTCTCTTGATTATTTGAAAATGAGAAAGCAAGCTCAATGAATCCTTCAGGTCAGTGGGCTTGCAGCAGAATAAGTGGATCCTATTGCTTTCTATCTTTGATTCCTAAATTTTCCTAGCAGAGCTGAGCCTCAGCCTGTGACCAGCAGCATTAACTTCAGGATAGGACATTGTCACTGGTTCTGTGTGTTGTGTGTCTCTTAACAGTGCTTGTGCTTCACGGATGGTGTCACTGTTGCCTCAATGCCCCCAGCCCAGGCCCACAAACGGTTATTGGATGGTGACCAAGGTCCAAACACTGGAGGGATGGGAGCCTATTGCCCAGTTCCTCAGGTATAGCAGTCCTTCTCCTCAGCCTGCAATAAGGCTGATCACAGCTGTGGTTAATATATCACCTTTAGGGCCCAATCTTGTTTCTATCACATAGGCCAGAATTCTTCTCGAACTGACTGATGCTTTGCTTGTCTAAGTGCAATACAGGGCTCAAACTTTAGTAGTCATTCTTTAGGATTTAATGAGCCAGTGTTCTGAGGAATTTCTCTCTTTTACCTTTTCCATTATTCCTAAACTTGGTGTTTCTCTGCTCCACTTAGCATCGCTTGAAATGTCCCTGCAAAATTCCCTGCCTACCTGGAGTCTTTGTGTCTTGAACATAACCTTGTGTTTCTTGGTGTCAATTCTTAAAGCTGACTGCATTGTTCTAAATATGTTACTCATGTATATTACTAGTGTGTTTTTCTCTAAGTACAGAAACAATCTTACTGTGTACTTCCCAGGTTGCCAGTGCCTCAAGCCTCCTTAAAATTGGCCTTGTAAAGAAAGAACCAAACAAAAAATCTTGGGAGACAGAGGATCGGTGTATCTGTCCTTCAGGCAGCAGCACCCTGATGGAAAGAGCGTGCTGGTTGGGGGTGGGAGAGCAGAAAACATAGCTGAGGCATTTACTTAGCCCAGAGCTTCCAGGTCCTATGAGCTAGTCCAGCAAATGTCATCGCTGTCTCAATCAGTTTGATGTTGATTGTCAGGTTCCAGAAGTTCTTCTAGAGAAAATCAATGATGCTGTCCTTCAACATGTTGTTGATAGTATGAGACAAGAAGGAACAGCATATGTAGGTAAGTAAGCATTCAATTCAAAACCAAGGTAAAGTCATATCAAGATTAGTTTCATTGTTAGGGATTGTTTTTGAATTCCAAATAATATTTGGGTTTTTTTAAAAAAAAAAAAAAGTTCATTTTTCATGCAGTATTAAGCCTCACTGGTTTGATTTATAGCTCTTCCTTTGGAGAGAGGAACTTTTGTCTTTTCTCCATAAAACATACTGTATTTTTATTAAATATTTTTATTAAAACAGTTGCAACCAGAGTCTTTGTAGTTCAGGGTATAATATATACTTGAGTTGTACTGTTCACTCCTATATATATAGAGCAATGTAAGTTTTCTTAAGATCTTTGACTTGAAGTTGTTTTGACGAAGGAAGGTGATGCTCAGAGCTGTCACTTAATGGCAGTGGCTGCTTTTCGTACTGAAGACTGTCAAGATCACATACGTGTAAAGAGTTGGGTTCCAGTCTGCAATGTATTCTCTGCTATTTGGTAACTTTTTTTCCAATGCCCAAATCTGCAGTAAGACTGTAGTGGGTGTTGAACATTTTCACGAGGATGCTGGAGGACCTGATGCTTTGCGGGGTTTAAAATTTAACACTTGTTATTCTCTGGGAATGGTTTTTCGGATTATACAATGAAAGGCCTGCTTTAGATCACTTTGTGCATGTATGTGCGTTGCAGTAGAAATTACCCAGTACCAACTTCAGTAAGTTTTTGCTTGTTTTTTTTTGGTAGTAGCAGTAGTGAATTTTGGTTTGGTATTTTTGCCTGAAATACAGAATTATGCATCTAGATTTATGCATAACAATAGTACAGTTAATGGTATAAAAATTGCAAGGTCTGTGTAATGAGTGGGATATTATGGGAGCTGTTTTTTTCATCCTGTCAGTTCCTTTCGATCTCTGACCGCCTGCATTTAATGAGCTGTAGCAGAAGGCAGAACTTGACTTTCTGATGCAAAGAGGTTGCTTTCCGTTGTATTCAAAATGTGATGCAATGTTCCTCAGGTTGCTGCTTGCCACTTTGTGGGTTATTGTGGAATTACTATGATTTGCATATAAGTGCTTGCAGAATCCTTGCTCCTAATGCCTTATGATTTGCAGAAATGCATCCCACATTCCAAAATACTGTGTTGCATTTAAAGGAGTTCTTGAAAAATAAATGTTTAAATTCATTTGCTTGGCTGTGTTCTTTCTGTTCAGGTGTGCTGCAAACAGGTTTAATGCTTACCAAAGATGGTGTGAAAATTTTAAACTTTAAATGTCAGTTTGGTGACCCTCAGTGCCAGGTGAGTGAAAGATACTGGAAACTTAAATATGCTTCATTCTTTTACCTCTGATTGTTAGGTTTAGGGAAGTGTGCGGGATAGATGTAGATGTATGTCTTCCCCTGAACATACAGATCTGAATGAGAATGTCTTAGACAATATATGAGGCAATTTAAAATTTTAGCTAGTCAACTTCTGTGAATTGTTAGTTAAAAACTTAAGTTAAAGAGGTTTTGCTCCAATTTTATATTTCTGGATAGAAGCAGACTGCGAGGGGCCTAAATTCACGTCCCTTCTACACAATCTCACATCTCATATTGTAAATTTCTGCCTGTTACAAAGAGATGCTGCAAATTAATGCTTGCCTATAGTTTCCAAATCTACTGATGCAGGGAAACATCGTATTTTCTGTTTGGTAGGTATAGATTTTACTCTATTAATTGAATTTTCCCGAAGTTGAATTTCAACAAGTCAGCAAAATAAGAATTAACTTCTATTGCTACCAAAATTTTCTACAGGTAATTCTTCCACTGCTTAAAAACGATTTTTATGAAGTGATTCAAGCAATAATTGATGGCAAACTCTGCAGCTTCATGCCAGCCTGGTCAGAAAATACTACAGCTGTGTGTGTGGTCATGGCAAGTCCAGGTTACCCAGGAGACTATGACAAAGGCATGGAGGTAACAGGTAACTTCAGAAGGTTGTTTACTCTTTTATTTTAGCCTAGTACTTCAGTAAGCTTGCATTTAACTTCTCCCAGAGAGCTGTACTGCTTTCCTCCATCCTACCCCTCACACTGAGCAGCATCTACCTTCATCTGTCACTCCTTGTCTTTCTGGAAGGGGAAAGCTGTGCAGTAAGATCATTTACTTGGAATGCATGCCTGTCCAAAGTAGCAGAGGGCTGAATGATTTAAATTACATCATTCTATAAAGCCCTGTCTGCAGCTGGTTGCTGAGATAAGAAGGTCATGGGGCATTATATCCTCCTGGAACAACTCTGGTGCACCCATGTGGAGTACTTTCACAAACTGTACTGGAAACATGGACCACAGCATTGTCAGCACATGACTGCTTATTGCTAGTTTTGCTCCCTTCCTGGGAGGTCACTTTATCTTAGCTAATGCCTGACCAAGTGATAAGGGTGAGACTTGAGGACCTGTGGCCGTTAAAATAGGAGCAGTTCACGCCTCCACCCACCATCAGCTTGGTTCCTTCTCTTGTGCCAGCCAGCCAGGTCATTACTGTGTAATACTAATAAGGACCTCTTCTTCATATGGCTCAAAGGGGTTTGGGGAAGTTTGGCATGTGGGCTTTAGATCAATACTCATTTTCTGTGTAAAAATTCTTGTGGTTTAATATCAAGATGATTTTTTTTTAAAAATAGTTAAAATCAGAGGGAACTCTTGCAGGTCTATTTCCTTCCCCCTCAGCTACTGCTTTGCCAGCCCAACACTATGCCTTGTGTCAGCCAACCCAGACAACTGATCTTATATCAAGGACACCTTATTTTTGTCAGAACCCAGGGAGGAGGTCATGTCATACTGCTTTTTCCCTCATCAAGATTTCTGCTGTCATGTTTTCCTTGCCCACCCTCCTTTTGTAGTTCACTCACTGTATTTATTTTGTTTTCTTAGTGATTTCTGGGAAACTCTGCATTTCTGTAACTGTAAAAATCCAAACCACATATCTGAATGAATCCCTCTGCTAATGAGCTGCCTTTCATTAGTCAGACTCAGGAACTTAACTTTTTTAAAGTTGGTATTCACACATTTAGGAATGAAATTGTATGACCACCCTGCTTGTTAATCACAAAAAAATCCAGTCAAAACAATGAAATTAAATTCATTCTTTTATTATTATACTCCAGCCCCTGGAGTTGTGTGGGGCTTATTAGTTTTTTCTCCTATTTTCTGCAATGATTCCCACATTTTAATGGCTTTAATAAACATTTTATTCTGGAGTATTCGCTAAAACATGACGGGAAGGAGTTAGGTTTCCATTCCAGCCAGCCAGCTGGGGCTCAGCTTTGACCTTGTCAGGGCAGTGCTGTGTCAGTGTAACATACTGTACTCTCAGCAAGCATAAAGGTCCCTTTTGCTTGTTTATAAAATCTGTTTAGCTGACAGCAAGGGGAAAACTCTGTTTTGTTTTGCTTTTTCCAAGTGATGGCAGCAGTTCCTCCTCTTCCCTTATCTTCTCCTCAAGATATAAATCTATAAAAAAAACCCGGAACAATTTTGCTTTCCTCTAACAGGAAAATATATGGAAACAAATTAAAACAACATAATATGTCATTTGTTTTAGCTATTGGACAGCCACCTGCAAGTGTTTGCAGAGCATTGATTCCAGATGTGGTAGGCAATAGTGTGGAGTGAGCACAGCAGAATAGCGAGGGGAGTGCTGAGGTAACATTAATGGTTTAATATCGGGGAGAAGAGAGAATCCAAGCAATAAACTGCTATGAATTGTGATTTCATACAGGAAAGCCCTGCACAAATTATTCACAATTACAATATTCAGCACAGTTTTGCTGGCACGGGCTAGTTACATGTCCTGTTGTGGCTCCTGGATCCTTTATTTCTGTTCCCGTGTGATCTGTGTCCTTACTGGACATCTCAGAAGGGAGTCTTAGGGCCGCTGGCGTGGGGTACCCCAGTGGTAATGCTGTTTCTTGGAAGAAAGGTAAAGCGGGAAGCTTTATTGTTGCTCTTTCTTGTCTGAAGAAAGGACTTCAATCTTCAATGCTTTGCCAACGTAGTCTGTGATTTAAAATACTCAAGAGAGTTCCTTTTGCTTTTGTAGGGCTGCTGCAAGCCAGAGAGTTAGGGCTGGAGGTGTTCCATGCTGGCACAACGCTGAAGGATGGCAGAGTGGTGACAAGTGGTGGCAGAGTCCTTTCCATTACTGCTGTTAAGGAGGACCTGATGAAAGCACTGGGAGAAGCCAACAGGGGTGTAGCGGCCATACATTTCAAGGGTGCCACTTACAGGAAGGACATTGGCCATCGGGGTATACGGCTTCTCAAACAGTCTCTGTATGTAAGCAAAGGCACTAGCAGAAATACATGCTAGTCCAAAGTTTTATATCTGTTGTTCCCATTTGTGTGATGAATGATGATCTATGCGGAAGATGTCACTACTGCTGCTAGCATGTCCTTTACTCTCTGCAGGGGTCTAATATACAAAGAGAGACATGTGGAAGCTGTAACCTGTGATGTTTTGTTTCATCAGCCAGAAACATCAGTTGTAAGTGGTACCAGATCAGGTAAGACTGGGAACAATCTTTGTATTTCCTCAGTATATTGAATGCAACAGAACTTCTTTTTTTTTTCCACAGGAGGCAAGCAATGCATTTTTGGCATTGAAATTGAGCTTGAGAAACTGGGCCGAGCTCACCACGAAGAAAGAAAATTCTCATTTCTTTCTCCTCAGTCCTCTTTTGCTTAATTAAAAATAGTTGGTTTAACATGGGGATGATTGCACTTTTTCAAGGTTAGCCTAGTGAACAGAATAACTCCTGGATTAATGGAACGGTTTTGTATGTCACTGGACAGAAGTGATCCTACCAGCTGTACATATGAGTACAACATCCAAACAGTTATTAGGGTGTGGCTGACAATCACTGAACTTGTTATTTGCTCTCCAGACTATGTTCTTTACTTTTAGAAGTGATCTACTGAGGAAAATTTCATGTTGATTTTTTTCCCTTAGAAAAAAGTAGCCGCATAAAGAAAAAAGGTGAGCTGTTAGCAGTTTGGTAAAATGTTTAACCTTTGCTATACACAATCCGTAGGTCACAAATACAGAATTATAAAGATCTATTTACAACACCATGAAATATGTGACTTTGGCATGCATACTTCATAAAGCTGTGCATGTTTCTGTCAGTGGACACAGCGCTGTCTTCTCCAAGAAATCATAATTTGCAGTACTTGCCTTGACGAGTGTTTTGGGTCTTGTTATTTCCCTTAAAAATGATCCTTGACATATTTGTACTTGGCAGGCAGTCATTCAGAAGTAGGAGGCTTTGCTGGTTTCTTTGACTTGAAAGCATCTGGTTATGATGATCCTATCTTGGTATCTCAAACTAAAGGCCTTGGACCTAAACTGCAGGTAACTTGCAACTTGACTGTAGCAAAGCTTACGTTATCTCCCAACACTGTTTTAAATGCCACAGCCAATTGCACCATCTGCACCCTTCTGAGCATGATAAATACATCTCAAGGCCACTGCAGCGGTCATTTGAACTTTGTAGATGATCCTTGGAGCAGGGCCTGTGCATATGTCATTGAGAATGTGGAAGTTCTGTATATTTTGTGATGAAATGATAACAAAACAAAGCATGTAGCTGGGCATTTGAGGAACTGAGAACCAGATTTTGTACTATAAAATAGAGGATCCGTTGGCTTTGAGAAAGATCAGTTCAGAGAGGAATTGGTGCAATGAAGTGCTGAAATGGTAACTGTCAGATTTAGCTTAATAAATTGTATGCAGAGAGGTAGCATGATTACTGCTGTTAGGGCACTGGGGAAAAGAAGGACAGAGGAGATGATAAACATTAAAGAGGAAGAAAACCCAATACATAAAGAATGCTAATCACACAAGAACACATAGGGTAAGTTGAGCCAGGAATTTATTTATATATTGAATCAGAAGGCTTTCAGCCATCAGAGGAGTGGAGGTCTGGAGCTGCCTTTCACTGACCAAGCACAGCAACTCAACTTGTTTCAAGGTGGTGTTTATACCTTTAGTAATGGGATGATACGATGTGGCTTCCTGCAATAGCAGGAGAGTGAACATAATAATCTACAAGGTCTTTTTGCAATCCTACATCCATGGACACCTCTGAGCGTGAAAAAGCGACTGGTGCTGGCTCTTGTGCGTCTTTGTTCCAACTGCTTGGCAGAGAGACATTCCCAACTGTGTTTACAGACTGTTCCCAAGACTCTTCCCTAGCCAAAAAAAGTTGGCCGATGCCTATACGAATTGTTATTAGATCAGTGGGAGGGAGATGTTATAATGCAACAAAAGACATGGGATAACGGTTTCCATAGCACTTCTAAATCCACCAGCCAGTGAAAGAAAGCAGGTTTGTAATCCAAACTCAGATTTTGTTTAGGTGCTGATCTGTTACCATTTTGAAGTCAGTGATTGTATTTATCTGCATTTTTCCCTTGCTCATCTTTCTGTACTGAGCTTTTCTGCACTGGTATAACTACTCTGATAGAGCTGTGTCAGTAAAAGGAAGTTACCTTGAAAATGTACCCATAGATAGGCAATCTGTGTCCTGTTTCAGTCCCTGAAGTGGTAACTGACAGAGGTGAATTGCACTGTGTGAGCTGGTGCTGTGCATCTACATCAGCAGCTGGCACAAGCGGAACTGCTCTGGTGTACCCCTGACAGTGCAGAAAACCTCTGCTTGTAATAAAGTAGTGTAAATGTTGCCACTTTATAGAAGCCATGATGTCAGAATCAGGTTTCATTACTTGTAGGATGCAAACACCTTGATAACTTTTTTAAAACCGAGTAGCAGCCTTACTGAGGGAAATACTGCTTTATGAAAGACCTGCCTTTCAAGGCAGCCTACAGATCAGGCCCACGTTGTTGTCTGTGACATGAGATAGCTGAGGTCAAAAGACGCCTTGGGGAGGGTGGGAGTGAAGAATTTAATTGTCTGAGGTCTTGGAGAAAAAGAAGAAAACTACTTAAATTGTTTCAGTTTTGCTGCGTAGCCTAGTGAAATTAGTAGGCAAAAGTAAAGCAGAACACACAGTGATGTTTGAGCAACCCGATCTTATTTTTGGAAATTGCTAGGATGTTCTGTAGGTTGAATACCCTCAGGATTTGTAATTGCTTTTAGACACCTCTTGTTCTGGATTTGACATAATATTCCAGAAAGCAAACAAACAAACAACTCAAAATTACAATTTCTGGGTAGCTGGAGCTGGAATTTGAATTCATGTTTCAAAAAACAAAATAGATTTTTCTTTTCTCTGCAAGAAAATGAGCTGTTTTCTCTTGATTTAAACTAGATGATGTACCAGATAATCTTCTGCATGCACGTTCTATTGTGATTCTTTTCAGGGAAAAGAAGATTTCTGCTTATTTGACTGATTAATATCTGAGTTTTGTGTATTTCTTGTCACCACTGCTGGTTCCCACCATGTTTTGCAGATTGCACAAGTGTGTAAGAGACATGACACCATAGGTCAGGACCTGGTTGCCATGTGTGTCAATGCCATCCTGGCTCAAGGAGCAGAGCCTCTCTTCTTCCTCAACTATTTTGCCTGTGGCAAACTTGATGTTGAAGTGACAGAAACAATCAAAGAAGGAATAGCTGAAGCTTGCAGAAATGCAGGATGTGCTTTTCTGGGTATGAACACTTCTCTGAGATTTTTAGGTTCTGATGTTGAAATGATTAGCAGTGAAACAGACTTTGTAGGCAGAGGCAATATGTGGCATTAGAGCAGTTGTTTCTGTTTGGTGAAAAAAACCAGTCAATCATTTGGGCTTAAACTCTTCCTTATCTCTAAAATGAGTCAGCACAGAGGGTTGATTTTTACTATTCGTGCATTTGGATCCAGATTCTTGCTTATTTATCCTTCTACAAAGGAGAGCAAAACTGGATGCCTCACATTCTTGAAGTGTTAATATGTTTTCATTCCCTCTCTGATATTCAGTCATAGCAGGGACATGCCAGATAAGTAGCATGAAATGGGAAAAAAATTTTCTTCTTTCTTTAACTGCACGTTTTGTTTTGTTGAAGTCTTGAGGTGAGAAGGACTTTTAAAATGTATCTGAATGCACTGCTTAGGCTTCATGTCTCTGCAGCTATCCTGGGTACATTGCTTATTTTAGAAGATGCTATAGATTTAAAGTTAATAAAAAAGGTTTACAGCTAGTGCTGACTGCTTTCTCTCCCCACTTAGGGAAGGAGATGGCTGAGGTGACTGGCATGTATTCTTCTGGCATGTATGACCTGGCTGGCTTTGTGGTTGGTGCAGTGGAGCGAGGGCAGATGCTTCTGGGGCTGCAGAGAGCTGATGAGGAGGATGTGCTTATTGGACTGGCCTCTTCCGGGATTCATGGCCGTGGCTTTAGCATCATAAGGAAGATTCTCTTAATGTCCTCCTTACACTACTCCTCACCAGCGCCTGGCAGTTGTGGTGACAAGACTCTAGGTACAATTATCTTTCTTCTCAAAAACAAAGCTGCAAACGAATTGTGTTTGGACATTTTCGTAGCTAGATGCTGCCAAGGGTTGTTCAGGATGGGTTAGGTTATTCAGTCTTTGAGGTAAGTATGTGGGCTTGCATCCACAGTTTTGGAAGAGTGGGCCAGCACGTTTTGCTACTTCCTAAGGCTATCTACCACAAAAAGCAGAAGTGAACCTGTTCAGAGAAGCATCCCCACTAAACATCTAATGACCTTTTAAGCAAATTGCTTGAATTGACACTTTTGTTTGCAGGAGATATATTGCTGACCCCGGCAAAAATGTACAGTCCATCTTTGCTGCCTGTCCTTCGCTCAGGGCACGTGAAGGCTTTTGCCTTCATTGCTGAGGAAGGCTTGCTGGAAGGCATCTCCAGAATCCTGCCAGAACATGCCAGCGCTATCCTAGGTAAGTATCAAAGATGACTGTTTCTGTTTGACAAAATTTATATACAGCATGGACTTGACTTTTCAGCTTCAGTTATGACCTGAAGTCAATGCTTTTCCAAAGAGCCTAGCAAAACCATTCCTATTTCAAGGAAGCATCTCATTGGAGAAGGGAAATTTAAGGAGAGTTTGAAGGCAGCTCATTTCTAGGAGAAAAGGGATTTGAGAAGATTGTGTGTTCTGCAAGACACCTCTCCATACTAAACGTTTTGACCAAACAGTGAAGCTTGTTGAGAGAACTAATTTGCATTATTTGCTCCACAGTACATACACACACACACACACGCATGCACACACTTAAAGCAATTTTAAGCTAGGTGTTAGCTTCCTCGTAATAGATAAGCATTTGACATCTGTAAGTAAGGTAGAACCTCTTCTGTGTAAGTCAAAATTGGGCAAAGCATTCGTAAGTTCAAAATATTAAAGAAACCTATATTCATGTGAATCCAAAAATATTGTGGGGATGAGGAGGGGGGGGAAGGAAGATGTCTGTATGTCTGTCTGTGTTTCTGTAGAACAAAATTAGAAAGGAAAGAAATAAACCCAGCTTACTAACGTGGTGCCCAGCTTGCTTGTCACTGCCTAGAGCCACAGAAAAGATAACAAGCCCAAGGGATTGTTAGTTTTCTAAAGTGAAGTCAAGATGGCAAGTCTGGACCATCAAGCTTTCCAGTGACAGCCTAAGGCCATGCCTGCGTGAGTAGGGTCACTGTGAAAGCCCATCCAGGCTTCTCATCCGTGTGTAGACTGCCCAGCCCCGTTCCAACACACCTGAGTATACACTCCTGTACTAATTATTGATTCTTTGAAACAGAAAACCACGATCTGCTTAAGTAGTCCAAAAAAGCCAGAAGATTATTTGTCCCACAGCTCCTTTATCTCTTACGGAAGAGATGTAAGTCATCTGTAGCTTTGTCCTTCTGGCTGATGAGGGATGAATACATTTTAATTTGCCACCATTTCCTACATCTTCTCATTAGAAAGCCTGGAGAAGACTTGGCTCACACAAATTATAACTAGAAACCTCTAGCTAAGCAGCACCTATAAACTTGACTGGAAGTTGGGTCAGTGTCCTTCTTGCACAGTATTCTTAAAATAACAAGAATTAGTCTCTATCAACCTTTGTAATATACCACTGTCATTGTATACAATAAAAGATGGGGAGCAAACATTTGTGCTGACCATATACAAATTTCAATCATTTTCAGATGCTCTCAGTTGGAGAATTCCTGAAATCTTTTGCTGGCTTTATAAAGAGGGAAACCTCTCTGAGGAGGAGATGGCTCAGACATTTACTTGTGGGATCGGTGCTGTCTTGGTTGTGCAGAAGGACCTGGCTCAGCATGTTCTTAAGGACATACAGAGACATGAGGAAGCTTGGCTGATTGGGAAGGTTGTTGCCCCTTGTTACACAGGTTAGCAGGTGTCCTAATGGGAAATGAAGACACTCACAAAAATTAAACAGGGTATGGTTTGATTTAAAGTGTAACAGATTCATCTGCCTCCCTTCAGAGGGGGTTCCACTTTAGGATGTGCTATTTAATTTTTAAGTTGATAAAGGGTAAGTTGTTTCAGAGTGTGATTCTGTCAAGTCCTGAGCATTTCTTGGGAGATATATCCTCAGTTCTGTAGGCACTGAGGAGACTCCTTACTGCAAAGTTTGTGTAGTTCATATCTTTTTTCTGTCATTTCACTAGGCTGGAGGTTACTTGACACCTTCACATCTAGCTCTCATTATTAAATAAAGTGAGAAGTGAATGACTTGTTTTCAGAGGACAGTGCTTAAATAGTGTCTTACCTAGGTACTTTGTTGAGACTCAAGTAAATCCCTCTGATGACTGTTTGTGAAGACTCAAACATTCTTTAGTTGATTATATTTTACCACAATCGTGGTAATCAACCCAGCTCCTTTCCAACCCCTTCCCAACTCACACGGATACTGTGTAGAGATTGAGGATAGGCCACAGCTGTGTACAGACACGTGATGGTAAGTCTTCAATCTGGTATGCCCATTGCTTGACATACAGCAAGACATGAGCCAAAATTCCTCTGGAAGCCACACAGCTTGGGGAGCAGTTTGAACAGCCAAAATGCAACAGCTCTGTCAACATCATCTTTAGTTTAATTTCGCAACATGAGAGAAAGAGGAAGATGGGTGTAAAAGATCGGGATAATGCTTGAAAAGGCTATGCCATACCTAGGCCTTTGGAGACGATTCTGCAAGTAACACAAAAGAGATCAGCACAACTAGCAAGAGTTTGTTCGTTCAAGTAATGTATGTCTTTGTAGTTCAGTTAATGCTAGCATAAATTAATTGTTGATAGGTTTTTCTCTTAATTGAAACTTACGATTAGTAAGCTATACAAAGTAAATTTAAATGGGAAAGTAAAACCTAAGGTATTTTACTTTTAACTTTTTCCTCACATATTTGGAGGAGGTTCTGACATCAAAGTTGAGAATCTTCTTGAAGCTCTGCAGCCGAGCAGCCCCCAGCATCTGCTGAATAATGCTGGTTTTGAGAGTCAACACCAGCCCAGAAAGAACAAAGTTAAAGTGGCTGTTCTCATCTCTGGAACAGGTGAGCTTTCATTTATCATCATGCAAGGCTGAATTCAGCCCCCATACAAGCGCATCCACCTTGCCTTTTTTTTTTTTAGTGGAGTCTATGGAGCCTTCTGAAACCAAAGTTGCATTTTGACTGGAAGTCAAGAAGATGTGTTGTATTGCTTAACAAATGAGCTTTATTAGTGCACAAATTCCTTAGTCCTCTTCTATTTGTGCAGTTGTTGAAAACAAGATTTTTGTTAGACAAACGGGACTGAGAGCCAATTCTCAGTGACATAGATGCTCACCTATTTCATGAACATTTGCTCTCTCTTTGTTTGAGGCACAAACCTTGCTGCACTCCTCAGTTATGCAAAAGAGCCAGGCAGCTGTGCTCAAGTTGTCCTTGTCATCTCCAACAAGTCTGGTGTGGAAGAACTACGAAATGCAGCCCGGGCTGGAATTCCCACGAGGGTAAAGACACTAATTTCCTTTCCTTTTTATCATCAACTCACAGCTACTGAATCTGTAGATCTTTATGAAATGCTTGGTAAGCATTCATGTTTCACTTTTCTTGAAAACTTTTACGTGGATAAGTGGACGTAGCACAAAGCTGTCAAAGTTATCAGTAGAGGCAGAGCTGAAAGCTGTATGGACAGTGCTCACTGTAGGCTGTTGTGTCTTTCCCATCTCTTCAGTGAGTGCTACAGGCCAGAGTTAGGAAGGGACTTAAAATTGCAAGTGCTTTGATGATTAGAGTCCGAGACTGTAGCCCATGCAGCTTCAAGCTTTAACTGAAATCAGTAAGACTTCAGGCTCTGTGAAACACACAGAATCATTTAGGTTGGAAAAGACCCTTAAGATCATCGAGTCCAACTGTAAACATAACTCTACCCAGTCCACCACTAGACCATGTCCCTAAGCGCCACATCTACACATCTTTCAAATACCTCCGGGGATGGTGACTCCACCACTTCCCTGGGCAGCCTGTTCCAGTGCTTGATAACCCTTGCGGTGATGAAATTTTTCCTAATATCCAATCTAAACCTCCCCTGGTGCAACTTGAAGCCATTTCCTCTTGTCGTATCGCTTGTTACTTGGGAGAAGAGACCAACACCCACCTGGGTACAACCTCCTTTTAGGTAGTTGTAGAGAGCGACAAGGTCTCCCCTCAGTCTCCTGTTCTTCAGGTGAAACACCCCCAGTTCCCTCAGCCACTCCTCATAGGACTTGTGCTCTAGACCCTTCACCAGCTTCGTTGCTCTTCTTTGGATGCGCTCCAGCACTAACATAAGCATATTGTCTCCTTGGCTCATCCCTGCCTAGAAAGATCTTTGTCTCATGTTGTGCTCAGTCACTTTCAGTGTCACCATAATAGCACTACGTTATGGAAACTTTCATTGGTTTGTTTCATAAAACAAAACAAAAAAAGTAACATCATGTCACATATTTGTCAAAGTATAGAACATGGCTTTTGAAAACATTCAACAAGTTGGGATTTCAAATGCAGCCCACCAGGAACTCTTCCTTCTCAGATTTAATGATTTTGAGCAGTTATCATATTTGTGTAGCTACACACAGATGGCAATAAATACTGTTAGAGGGTCTCCATGCATTAAAAAGCTTTCAGTGAGCTTCCTCAACAGCTGAGTTGGACTCATGTTACTTTTTTTCTGGCAGTATAAAGACTCATCTTTGGGGAAAAAAGTTATGCCAAAATTAATTCACATTTTCATAGGCAAGAGCATGACAGCTTTGTTAGCCCCTTATTTGAATATCTTCATGAACAGAGTCAGGAATCAACACTTACTTTGGGAGCTGGAGCTGAGAGGTGGAGTAGAAATAGAACAAGACTTGACTGCTCCCCTTACACAGAATGTCTGGCCAGTTTGTTCTCTTTTTAAGAGAAGTTCATGATTTTCAGTAAGCAACTATAGACTAACTGCTGGTGCTGTTGTTGATGTGTCTTTACTATTTTTACTTTAGTCTTTGGCAAGACATTCTGGAATAAGAGGTCAGTATCTACTGATACGTTCTGCCATATTTCCCTCTACACCGCATTACCCGCATGTTCTCTTTGTGCAGATTTTCTACACATCCTAGAAAGAATCCTGTGTGAAACAGCCAGTGTTAAATAGCAAGTGATTGGGGTGTTCCCAAGAATGTTTGTATGAATGTGAAAAATCACAAATATCCTGATTAATACACAAACTTAGAACTTTGAAATCCTCACATGTCCCGGAATGAATCCATTTTGCTTCTTCTTTGTTACCCAAGCAGCTGCTGTCATTCACACAAAGTTATTTCCTTGATATGGTTTCTGATCTGTTTTAATGTTTTAGGTGATTGATCATAAGTTATATGGGAGTCGCTCTGAATTTGACAGCACAATTGACCGAGTTCTTGAAGAATTCGCTGTTGAACTAATATGTCTTTCAGGATTTATGAGAATTTTGTCTAGCCCTTTTCTCAGAAAATGGAAAGGTAAGAAATTGTAACTGTAAAAGAGAAATTAAACTATGGATGCTTGGTCTCACCGGAATTACAGAATTATGGAGCAGGCAGGAGTTTGGTTCTATCTGCAGCGGGGGACAGGTAGCATAACTGCGTCATTTCTGAAGGAGCTGTGCTGGGCAGTTGTGCTGAACTTACTCCTTGCAGCTGTTACTCAGAAAAAAATGGGAGGGAGACTGATTTCTCAATGCCTGTCCCTCCTGTGCTGCCCTGAGGGCTGCGCAGCATAGCAGTACCCTGGACTGTGTGCTGGCACTGCAGCCATCGCAGACCCCTGAGTGAGCGCGGCCCTGCTGTGGGGCAGAGCTTTCTTTAGATCCATTCTAGGCCAGCAGAGCGGGGAACGCACACTCCTCTTTCCTCTTGGCTCTGGGCGCCAAGTGCCAGCTCCTGAGGCCTGGCTCATGAGTTGCTCGCTGCGCAGATTGCACTGGGAGAGGCTCCTTTGGGAATGATGTTTCCTACGAAAATCACTTCCGCCTGTGCAGTGGCTCTGCGGTGTGAAGTCCACTTCCAAGCCCCTCCTCTGCAGCATGAGGGCTGGTCACCTGGGAGTAGGGAGACGACTCTGTCAATCCACAGATGCAAAAGCGAATGAGGTCCTTGGCCTTAATTGAAACATGCTTGCCTGGCTACTGTCAAAGCCTGCACACCATCACCTGTGCTCCTGGAAGAGCAGTATTTCCTCAGATCAGAGCAGCGCTTCCTTGGATTTCCTTAGAGATTGTAACACCATGTATATGTTTCGTTTTATGCCCTTTTACATTCTGACTGCAGTTGAGACCATTTAAACTCCTGAGTGGTTCACAGTGCTGTTCTTTTGAACTGATGATCACATCTTACACTTATTTTTAAAGGCAATTCAGTTCAAATGGATATATTTTTTTCTTTTTTTCTCCTTTCACACTGATGTCCAGGGAAAATTTTGAATGCTTCCCCATCACTTTTCCCACCAATCAAGGATGGAAGTGCCCATCAGCAAGCTTTGCAAAGTGGGTTCAAAGTCACAGGCTGCACCGTACATTTTGTCCTAGTAAGTGTCCTTTTGTCTAACATTAAGTTACAAAAAGGAATTTGCTTTTTTTTTCTTTTCTTTCTGAAGGCAGAAACAGGAAGAGGTAACAGGAATGTGTGGAAATCTTGGGATTATTACCAGTAAAAACAGGAAGATGTGAGAGTTACATTGCATTTGTGGTTTCTTGAGGTCCTGTCTTCTTCCTTCATATTATGTTTTTTCCTTCAGTGGCTCCTACCCTCAGCAAACTGCCCTCTGCATCTTCTCACGCATGTCTCTCCCCACTGTAACCCCCAATGTAATGTGGGTACCCCTAATGGCCATAAGCCTCTCCAGATGTACTTTCAGCCTCCTGCATGCTACAGATGGCGCTGGCCGAGATCTCTCACAAGACTTTCTCTGCCCCGTCCACACTGTCCATAACCTTCCTGAGACTGTTAACTGGCCACTTCTGAAAGACTGCCAATATCCCCATTTTAGGAGGAATCTAGTCCGAAAGCAGTGATCCACCAGGAGCTGGTATCTGTGAAGGCAGACGACACCGAGGAGATGCTGTCAGAAAGGGTTAAAGAAGCCGAGTGCCGGGCTTTTCCCATCGCCTTGCAGCTGGTGGCCAGTGGAGCAGTGCAGTTAGGAGCTGATGGTAAAACCTACTGGAAACAAGAGAGCCAAAGCCTCTGTCTTCAAGAGGAGACGTGCACGTCCTCTCTCGTGGCTCTGGCGCCTCAAGAAAATGATGTGGTGTGGGCAGGTTTGTGAGCAGCTTGCTCTCTGCTCATCTTTCCCTCCTCCCCCCTGCCCTTGATGTGCTTCTCTGACTGCAGGCATATCAGTGTCACAGGTTTCCATTCTGAGCTGTGATCCGTCTCCCTTAGCTTGCAGCTTTAGTTACACTCCTCTTGCAAAATTGGCGGTAGAAGCCAAGCTATCATTTCAGATTTTAAATCTCTTTCTTTGTTGTTTTTTCATCGGTAAAGGAGATACTGTGTTACAAATCAAAGAGGGGGCTTAAGCTGTAAAAGTGGTCTAGTTCTTCAGAGGAAAATTAATTCTTCTGAGGGGTCGATTTTTGTTGGCTGCATCACGCTGCAGAACACCGAGAGCTTCACAAAGCGACCACAAACAGGAACCATGCTGCTGCAAGAGGCTGACCAACTCCTGTTGGATGGAAAAGGCCAGGCATGTCGGGGCAGATCAGAAGTGAGGCCCAGCCTGGCATGGTGTGGATTTGGCATTAGGGATAAATGCATAGCTCTGTGGGAGGAGTTGGGAGCCTACAACGACCTCGTCCTTGTGAGCCCCACCACTGTGGGAGTGCCCCAGGGTACACAGGAGAGGAGGGGATGTGAACATGTGCACCAGTGTGGGAGCCAGAGTCTAGTGAGCTGCCAAGCAGAAAATTGAAAGGCCAAAAAGGCAGGGAACCTTCAGAAGGCAGAACAAACCAAACTCACCTTCACAGACTGTCAATATGATGTAAAAGCGCGTACGGAACATACATCTAGGCACGTTCTCCTTTTCCTTGAAAGGGACATTGCCAGAATTTCATACTAAAACATTTGGATCTTGAGCGATGAAAATTGGATTTCAGGGACTAGAAACAGCAGATTTCAGGCATTTTCCTTCCTTCATCCTTGAAATCAGCAGAACAAGACATCCTCAGCTTAACTTGCAGTAGCAGGGAAATCTGTTTTCTTTGTTGACTGAATGATTGGCTTGGTCCAGAGAGTTGCTGCTGTTAAATAAAACCTTCTTCTGTGGAAGCTTATTTTATATCTGCCAGAATAATGACTTGCATGCAAGTAACAAATCAGAGGAAGAAAGCTAGCTAAGAAGCTACTTGAACAAATTAGAAAAGAAGTAGCCAGAGCTGAATTTTCCAGAGGAGGGATCCCTAATAGCCATTAGATGCAGTGAAAAAAAATGTATTCTTGTTTTGGTATATTACATGTAGTGTACTAGTGTATCGTGCTCTTGGCTGTATCAGGCTGTTTTGAGAGCATGAGTCAGTTTCAGTTAAAAAGTCTAAATTTTTCCCTTTTAAATTTTTTTTAAATGTGTAGCTAGTGGTGTTTCAGTAGTTAGGGAGGGGAGAAAAATTCAGTTCCCTCCTGTAAGCTCTGCCATTTATGTACAGAAATCTGTATTTGTCTCTTGCACTCCAACACCTGCAGCAAGGAACGTGTATTTTTCATGACCTGGCAAAAATAGGAAGAACTGTAACAAGGCAAGATTAAGAAATGTTTGGTCTATATAGGTAATTTTTATGATAAACACATTGCTTAGTTTGCTTTTGATCTGTTGTAACTGTGTAGTAACTTCATGTTGTATATTATTTGAATTGCATAGCACGCATGGCCAAATGTTCCAAACTCAACAAATAAACCATTAAAAGAGAATAGGGTGCTAGTTATTGTGCTCGGATAGGTCTCCAGACTATCACCATGGTATCGAACAACTCAAGACAGTTGTGTTCCTGGCATTCCTCTGAGACTGGGTGTGGTGATAGGTTGTTAATCTATTTATTCTTTTTACAGAGTCGTAACTGAAGCAAAGCAGTCTAAGGTTCAGTTCACAATGAAATTTCTTTTTATGTATTTGTAGAAATACAGATAGGTGCTTAAATCCCATTTGTCATCAGTCTTAGGTGGCAAAATACCTGAGTCTTGCTCAAGCTGTCTGTGATGGAATGGGGTATCAGATCTGGAGTGCCCGAGTCTCTGCTGCTGGCCTTCCTGACAGCGATCAAAACGCTTTTTTTTCAATAATGTTGTATTTATTAACTGTACAGGTAGTGATTTCACCCCTAGTAATCTTACTTCTTCTGTGAGTTAATTTAAGTACAATTTCTTTTGACTTGTAAAAGGTTTGCTGCATCATGGTGAAGGCACTGAACTTGTGCAGGCTGAAGCCTTGCCAGAGCTGGACGCTGCCCACATCTTTTACATTCTGACTGAGGCAGGCTGGATTTCAAGCCTTGGCAGGCAATTTGCGCTGCTGTGGGAGGGGAGGTTTGTAAAGAAAAACACCGGGCTGAAGACGTAGCTTTTATTCTTTGCCCTTTACAACCAAATTAAATTTGACCATGTCATTTTCCTCTGTATTTGAGTTAGCTTTCTCCTCGGTGACAAATGATGACAGGAATATTTTGTCAGGAAGTTTCTTCATCACAGGCCATCTGGCCAGTGAAACTGCAACGTCACCACACTCCGCGAATCATTACTAACTTATGCAGGACTGCACATGTCTGTAGCCTCACCAACTGATTTACAGTTGCTGTACTGTAGATGAAGTTAGATTCTGTTTCACAAACTCCTCCTCCAGCTTGTACTCCAGGTAAAGGAATTCCAAGGAAAGATTTTGATATTTAATTTTTTACCTTTATTAGACTTTATCTCAAATCCATAAAATATAATCACCTTCAGTCAGATGCTTCTGGCTTGTATGGGGGAATATCAATTATTTTAGTAAATACATCAAAATGTTTTCACAACTATATTAAAACATTAAAAGAAAAGCAGGTGCTTTTTCACAAGAGTTGAGCTGTACAAAACCCCTTAGTTTTCAGACTGATAACATTTACTGGGTTTCCATCAGTATTATTGCAGGTGAAAATACTATTCCAAGAATAAAGGCACTTCAGCAGAATTTCTGAAGAATGTCTCGGAAGCCAAGAACACATTGTTTTTTATCTACTCCTAACTCCCTTTCTGCTCATTCAAAAAAAACCAAACCAAAAAACCCAAACCAAACCCCAACTCTTTTGGCTCTGAACAAACCTCTGAGGGGAATTCATATGTGGATTCACATGAGGATACTCAAAGGCAAATGGTCAGCAGACATTCAGCAGGATGAAATTACGGGACATGTCCAGAATCTGGGCTAGACAAGATCTTCCACCATTAGAACAGAAATTATATGGAAAAAAAATCTATTTCATTATCTGCAGGAATAGTTAGTGTTTTGGCAGGCCAGTTTTTCTTGTTTTGGCTAGAGATTTTTATGAATAAAGTTTTTTGCCTTTACCTGTCTCTTCCCTTGTAGCAGTTCCATTACTTTTCCTCACAAATACTTCACAGGACATGACGAGAATCCCGTTACAGCCTGTATGGTCTGTTAGAGAATGATACTGACGTTCCTAAGTCAGTCTCAGAGATGCTCAGATCTCCCTGTAACCAACTGAATATTTTTGTTTGTTTAGAATGTTGGCCAAAGAAGTGATTATAATTAGGAAGCATGTAATGGAGCCACTGCTGAAACTACTGAGAACAGCCCCCTGCCTTAATAGTCCCATTTGTGGCTTTCTCTGGATTTTACTTCAAATCTTTAACAATTTGAGTGAGAACGTGGCGTGGTAAAAACATTTTGTTGAAAACATTTTGTGAAGAGAATACAGTGTGCATGTTATTAGGCTGTGACCTCTGTTTCAATCCCTTAAGGCAGCCCAGCTGTCCCACCTGAGGACGTTTGCGGACACGCTGCTCCTACTTCCAGCAGATCCTGCCGGCTTCCCCCACCTGTACGGCCCCGCTGGCGACAAGCTGCAGGGCAGCTGGGAAGGCTCGGTGCTCGGCCTCCTTCACCCTTTCCGACAGGGTCTCCACCGTGTCACCAATCTTAACTGGAACTGCCTCTTGGAAAATGATTGCTCCAGCGTCAACTTCCTCCTGTAAAAGCAATAGCCAGAAAATCTGTAGGGTTGAAGCGGGGCAGGGGAACCAGCTGTACGACAATGAATGTAATCCAGCTGCCGCGGGGATCTGTTCATCATTACGCTATTGCAGGAAACGTGAATTTTGGGCTAATGTGGGGAATGCAGAAAAGATGCTGGCACTCACGCTGGCCCGTGAGGAACTAACAGAAGCGTAGGGTTCAAAGAAAAAGAGAAGGTAGGCAGAACACCAGTGAGTAACATTTCTGCTACAGGAAACAACAAAAGCTGTGTTAACTGGGGACACGACAGGCTAAATTGGACAAAATACTGACATTTCAATTCAGAAGAGTGAATTAGCCAAGCCTTGGCACAGAGCGGGACTAGAGGACCCAGCAGATCTTTTTTTTGCACATTAATGAGGCAGATCCCTGCTGTTTAGTTATTGTTTCTCAGTACGTTGCCACACAGAGAAGAAACCCTAAGTCATCTCACGGAGAAAGGAATGCAATCTTTCCTTCTATCTGGAAAAATAGTTGTTGTCTCTTTTTCCAAGAGAAAGCAAAAATCATGAGAACAGATTTCAGGAGGAGTGGCAAAGGGGAGGGATAATCTGAAGAATGCAGTAGAGGAGGGAAGGCTAGTTACTGTCAACCCTGAGAACTGAACAAGATAGAAAAAATGCCCCCTGAACTGCTAAAAAATGTGCATCTTCCAAGTTGATAGATCTCTGGCTTTTGCTTTCTTATTTTTTGACTTACATAAATTGCCAAGTTTCTCCTCCGTTCCCACAAACATTGGATTACTTATTAACAAATCTAAGCTTCTCGTGCCGTTTCCAGGGTTGCTTTTTTTTTGTTTCTTGAAAGCAAAAAATAAGAAGGTTGTATGATAAAATCTAAGAAGTTGGTGCTGTGTAGTAATAAAGATTTTAGGTTAGCCAAGGCCTTATATGAACTAGTACCCCCACTCCAACTGGAGGAAAGCAGTGCTGGAATGTTTAGGGAAGAAGTTAACTTAGGTAAAGCTTAAAGTCCTGCATAGCCTATTCATTTCCAGTTCCTTCTCCAGGGAGAGCAAACCAAAGCACTATATTGTCTAATAATGT